CCCCCGTTTTTTTTTTCTCCTCTTCATATATTTTTCTTTGATGTAAAAGTTATCGTGAAAAGTTTCGTTAGAACTTAGAATAGAATTACTCAAACAAATTCCTACATATAGGAGGAAACAATTATTTGGAGATAAAATAAAATAAAATAAAATTGGCACCGTACATAATATCACATTCTATCCTTTTATATACCCAAGTCTCAAAAGTCAAAATCAGGTGAACAATTAACATTTTATTATTCAATTTTTTGGGTTAAAAACCATTTTCCAGGAAACAATTATTACGTGGAAGACTGCAAGTAGCCATTGAATTAGGCAATCAGCAAAGAATGGGATAAGAACTAGGAAGTTTCATATTAACACAACATGACTACAAATGAACTACTCCAATGAGACGTATGGATAATAAATTACAAAAGTAAACCAATCTATATATATATTAAAAAAAAAAAAAGAAGAAGAAGAAGAATCTCATTGTGTACAAAAATTCCAATCAAATGAAACAATTGAGGTTGAGCTTAAGATGATCATTCTCCAACGGCGTCAAGTTCAAGTCCAAGCACAAATTCATCCCTTCAGCATTCTTGGATTTCTTCAAGATGGACAACGAAGCTTTACGAGTCCCCAAACCATCATTGACAACACTTCTATGCTTTCTCATGTGCCCTCCCAAAGCTTGTCCAATAGCAAACTGAAGCCCACAAATGGGACACGGGTGCATCCTAGGTTGTTTCATGCTTTGGTTTTCATGATGGCACGAAAGATCTGTTACCATTAGCTTCGGTTTCTTGTGGCTTGCTCTGTGCCCACCAAGGGCTTGAAATGAAGAGAACCTTCTATTGCATGTTTTGCACTTAAAACCACCAATATTATCTAACTCTCCACCCTTTGATGGGTTGCTTTCACTCTCACCAACTTTGGTTAATAGCATCAAACAATTAGCCATCTCTAACTCACCCTCTTCTCTCCCTCTCTTCATGCCTACGTAGTCGGTTTAGTGATTCACTATAACAAAAAGTGTGCAACCACGAAAGTTGTTTGTTGTTCAGACTTTGGAACTGCCTTAGTATTCAAGTTACTAGATTACGATAATTTTAAGACACTGCCACTCTTAAATATATACATAAGGTCCTCGAATATGTGAGGAAGGTGCATGTAACTACGACTATTCGGAATCACGCGTATGAAGTGCCGAAACTACCCCCGTTTTTCCTTTGCAATTAAGAATCCAAGAATAGTGACTCTTTTAATTTCAATTCTAGTTCGATATACACTATTTTCCAATCATTTATATATTTGATAATATATCAGTATGCTACTCTTTATATCTAAGAATTATAATTATGATGAATTTTAATATTATTTTAAAAAGTTACTTAACTTTATAAAATTTATTTATAATCTTTTTATTTATATATTATTTCGAATATATTATTAGTGATCTGGAATTATGATAATAAGTGTAAATATATGGAGTGGGAAGACTAAAGTATTGGTTGTTGTTGTACTGAGTTGGTACTTGGTAGTTGCTAGCTAAGTTTGCGTGACCGCGTATGCAAAGGGGTGAGACCTATACATTTATGCTTTTGAATAATTAAGAATATCCACCTGAAATTACAAGTCATGTAAGTAACTAAGCATGTTACCCATTATTCTCTACAACTTTTTAAGAGAAATAACGCAAAGTGCATCACACGAGTCTTGTTTCGGTCCCACTATGTTTGTTTAGTATCATTACTACTTTGGTTCTATGAATGTACGTATTGAAAATATTGTGTGTTTAAACAGAATTTTCACGTTAAGTTAAACTACACGCGGTCTCAAATGTAAAAAGAATATTTTATTCAAAAATCAAAAGTTGCCAAATTATGTGTTAATTTCAAATTCAATGAAAACAAAGTTTCTGCGATGATAGATGATAGGACCATCGAACGTGGCGTGTGGGCCTAGCAAAATTCGGTGTGTATGAATAGAGGAAACAGAACACTGTAGATTGAACGGCAACAATATATGGAGTCATGAAATCTGAAGTGTGAACACTATTTTATTTTAAAAGACTTTATTAACAGCTATTTGAAAAAACCTAAATTCTGCATCGACTATAAATTAGACAATTAAATAGTATATAAATAAAAAATAATTCTCATCTTATAAGTTAATTTTGTAGAGTTAAGTTAGATTTAAATTTATTTTAAGATGATATGAGAGATATTTTAAATTCTTACCTTACAAAGCTGATTTTGTAGGGTTGACTTAGACTTAAATTCATTATTATAAGAATAGCTATAATTTCTCTAATCGTATATTTTAATACTTATATTTCTTTTTTTATGATTTATCATTTTGGTGTGCACCTTTTTTTTTTTTTACAACATAAAAATTTAAATGAGTTGATCATAAAGATTAAGTTGGGAGAGTAAGAATGAACTTCATTCTTTAATAAAAGAGATTATTTTTTTACCAACTAACCAATCTTTGTTATTTCACCCACCGTTTTTGTAAACTATACGAGATAAATTAGAAAGGCAAATAGTAACAATTAATTATATGTTAATTAGACATAATGTGATGTACCTAATAATTTGTCGTGTCACATACACTCCAACGTACGGCGTTATTGTAACAAAAAAAACGTACGGCGTTATGCATTGAATTAATGAAACAGGTAACGTAGGCGGTGCGTGGGAATTTCTTTGATTCTCACTTACTCTGTTACTTACTCAGCACTCAGCAGCTTGATGAAGTCCAATCACCATGCGTCATTTCACTAATCTAGATTTCTAGTTCTCACTAAGTTTTTCAGTTGGGATAGAATAAGAGTTTCAATCATTTTCCTCACTTGCTGATGCAACTCAATAAACCCCTCCTACCAAGTTTTCTTAACTTCGTTAACACTTTCTTTTGGGGCAGAGAGGAATTCTAAGAAATATGAAAAAAAAAAAAAAAAAAGATGATAATTGATTTGATCAAAGAAAACTAGGTAAAAATTAAAGTAAAACAGGATGAAATTTATAACTATTTGATAGAGTGAAATTTATAGTTATTTAATATAGTAAAATTAGGTGAAAAATAGAAAGATTAATATTTTAAAATTATATTTTATATAGTTAGACTTTTATTTAAAGTTTTTTTTTATTTATAATTTTATAGTTATATTTTATAATTATATTTTTAAATATTTAAAAATTCAAAAATGTTTTTCTTAAAAAAAAAATTAAAAATGTCATTTTTTTTTTTGTTTTTCTCATTGTCATTGTCATTTTTATTTTTTGCTTTCAAGAACTCGTCATAAAGCTTGTGTAGGCACAAATTCTTCGTGTACAAACCTTATCACCTTCAAAGGATAAATGTTTTGTTCAAATACAATGACCTTTTGTAATACAAACAAAAGGAGGAAATGTGAATTTTGTAAATGTGAACAAATACAATTTCATGCAAATGGCTCATTTGTTGACAATAATTTATTTAACTATGGGACCCACAACAACTCCTCTCAAATTAGCTTAAAATCTGCTTCACCAAGTAGAACAACCTTTTGTAACCTCACAAATCCATTTACATTCACACAAATTCACGATCAACCATGCCCCCAAATAGAGGATAAGAAGATTCATACATGCTTAATATTGATCCCGTTTTCCTATTTTTCTTCTTCTTTCTTTTACATAATTAATCTAGCTAAGTTTTGTTGTGTTTCATAGGAGAGAAGAGAAGAACTATTTGTTTGTGTCAAAAATTTGATAATGAATAAGAATAAAGTTATAATAATATATATAAATAAAAAATAATGATCGTTTTACAAGTCAATTTTGTATGATTAAATTAGGTCAAAACTCACATTTTAAAACAACATCGGAGTTAGGTTAACAAATGTTTATTAAATTTATCATGTTACTCATTATTTGATCACCTGTAGATGTTTAACCCTACAAGATTTACACTAGTTATGTTAGGGATTTCATAACAACTAGAGATAATATCATAATAATGTGTATAAGTGAGTAACAATTCTCTCTTTATAAACTAATTCTATTAAGTTATGTCCAAACTTACATTTTAACAAATTGTAATAAGAGGCAAAGAAAAATAACTTTTTATATTTTGAGACAAAAAAAATATGAAAGAGTAAAGTTATTCTTTAAAAAAGTATATGATATTTTTGCACATAAAATATAAACAATAAATTTATTAAAGAAAATATAATATGGTAAAATTTTATTTATTTTAGTTAAATTTAAAATTTTAAATAATTTACTATTTTTTATCCCTTATTTTTCTCATTCAAATAAATAAATATTTTAATTCTTTTATATCCATTCAAACAATGTATTTTTCTATTTTATTATCCATTTACTTATGTTTTTTTTTCTTACCTACTTCACTTCTAATTCAAACAAACCATTAAAGGTACACCAACAAATAAGCATACAAAAAAAGGAAAAACAGTTAAAGCTTACTTGGGTTGTTGTTTTCTTAATCCGACACATCTCGTACATTCTTTGAATTGTTGTTATATATAATTTATACCGTCATAATTATGTTTAAAACTATTTACTTATTATAAATTTTAATTATAAAATAATATATAATAAAAAAATATTCGTAAAATATAAATTTAGTAATATAAAATAATTATCTTCTACATTCTACAAGCTAAAATGTTAGCTGAAAGTAAGTTCAAAATTATTTTCATTTGCAACATGTGTGTTTGTGTTTTTTATATATTTTTTTTATTTTTATAATTTTGAAATTGAGATTATCAAATCATGGTGACTCTAACATTGTCCAAAACACGATAATTTTTTCAATTACTAAATAAAAATTGAATCCAAAATAATTATCACTAATAAGTTTTTAATTCTAAAATATTTATGCAGATAATAAAACTTATAGAGAATTTATTACAACATTTTTATTTTGTACATAAAATAAGATAAAATTTTAAATTTAATTTAATTAAATAAGGTTTGCATAAGTTCCACTGTAAATATATTTTTTATACTTTTAATTTTTTTAATATGTTGTGTGATTATTAATATTCTTCGTTCTTACTATTAGTTTTTAACATCATTTTTTTTCATCCTTTATAGTTTAGATTTCTTTTATGTTTTCTACTAAAATAATTCTTGAATATTGCACTAATAATATTCTTAAATATAATTGTTAACGAGTTCTTTATTGATTTTTAAATAACTATAAATTTAAATTGTTTTAAAAATATAATTTTAAATAATTTAAAATTAAAACTATATATTATATAAAACGATTTTTCTTATTAAAATTATAATAAGTATATCATATGAATATTTATTATTATTTTATTCTAAATTTTAAATTTATTATATTTTAAAAATATTACAAAACATTCTACACCTATATTTGGTGAATCATCAAGGATATTGTAGTTTTTTCTTGTCATGAATTTTTTTTCTCCCAAGAGTTAGACTTCCACTTCCCTCCATCAACAATTTTTAAAAACTATGAGATTAAAATATTTTAAAAAATCAATATACTTTTTTAATGCCATTTTTAATTTAACCAAAGCTAAGAAATTAACATTCTTAACTTTTAGCTTTAGACTTTTAAATTTTTTTGTGTAACCAAAAAAAATGTTGTAACCCAAAAAAACTTTAGACTTTTTAGAAACAAAAAAAAAAGCAAATATATTATTCTTTGAATATAATAAATATGAATATGAAATGAGTTAATCAATTATACATTGTTAGTGTAAAGTTTTTTTACACTAGCAACCAATTATATCTTTTAATTGTGTCATGTCACTGTAAACACATTTATTTTTGACAGTGACATGACACAATTAAGAGATATAATTAGTTATTAGTATAAAAAAACTTTATACTAACAGTGTATAGGTGATTAACTCACATAATTTGTGCAAGTCCAGATTTGAGTATAGTCTGTGTACTGCAGAGTCTCTTGTGATGACTCATATCAAGTGGTGATGTTATTTGTTTGGTGATGCAAGTAATGAAGAAATTAGGTTACTTAATTCAAAGTGGCTCAAATATTCTACAACGCTCACGCGGCATTTTGGTTGAATTGACTCATTGCCCCGTCAAAGTCAAATAAAA